AATGAATGTGGCTTTCACTTGGTGAGTGAAGAAAATAGCAGCAATAGAAAATAAAACACAAAATGGGATATCCATAGAGAAAAGAAAAAGAAGGAATAAATAGGTTCTTTTTTCTCCAAAACACTATGTCCTTTACTAGAGAAGTGAATGACTTTTTATGTGTATATCATCTGCCTATGCAGAAGGACTGAGGTAACACACACACATACTTCAGTCCCGTATTTTTACAATAGATTACACTGGATAATTTTGAGGGTCAGATGAATAAATATTATGAGGGTAGTTGCAGTAAACAAACAAAATAATACTGAAGTTGCTATGTTAACACTGAAACAACAGTGTATTGTTCTTTTTTAACAAACAGAAATATTAATGATAATAATAATTTAAAAAAAACAACATCTAATGTCTTCAAGTGCATTTAAACATAAAGTTTTCAAAAATTACCCTGAAAATTTTAAAAGTATTTCAACAACTTAAAATCACCTTCAAAAGTATTAAAAGCTAAAAGGGCAACGACCACAATGGTTACATTATGTGAAACTGTAAAATTCATTAGTGTAGATACTCAGTTGTCAACCAGTTGTGCTTTAGCTTCTTGGTTCACGCAGGTAGATGACTCTACTTACTTCTGTACGTGTGCAGCTTAGTATACCGCTGCTAACTTACAATTTCCGTAAAATGTTTGCAATCTGCTGTTCGTACCACTGGCATCATTACTTAACGAATCCCGATACGATTAGTTTCGTTGATAAAAAAACACTCGCCCAAAATAAGAACGCATATGGGCATAGCAGTGCTAATGCTTAAAAATTTTAAAACCTGTATGAAGGAGTGAAAATTTTCTACACGAATAATTATCTAATTATCACTAACCTTGTGAACTATTTTTCCATTCAAAGTAAGCTGTTTTGAGGAGTATTATGAGGCTTTCTAGGCATCTGAGAAAAATTAATAGAAATCTGCTGTGATATATTTTTGCATTTTGGTTCATGTTAGTCATACTCTAGGCATTCTGTTATTTTCTACCGAAAAGCTGAACTTATAAAGCCCACATTAGAACGAGAAGAGTACTTGATTCTGTGAAGTTGAAACAGCGCATTGTAACATAACGGTACCAACAGTTGTACGTTATTCTTATTTATGTTTACGACAAATAATAAGAGAAGTATATTTTGAGTTGAAATCATCGCTGATATATGTTTAAATATATATATTTAAATTGAGTTCTCCAACTGTTAAACTGTCTAAATCTCCTTCTCTCCAAAGCGGTTTTGTTTCTTGATATTTTATAAGGCAAAAATAATTTCATTTTCATTTACTGTCAATTCAAAGAGAACTGCTACATAGACTATACCAGAAGTTTTCTTGACTCAACCGTTTTACAACCCGTTGTATGATCATTGGATAGCAAGCAGTATGCTAACCGCATTCTATCGGTCAAGTTTGCATTGAGACCATGTAAACTAAGAGACTCGATGCAAAGATGGTAAACAGGAAGTTCCAAATGCAGCTTTCTGGATTATCACTGCCAGTCCGCATAAAACGTTAGACTCACGTCACTTAAGGCTGCAATCAGACAGACACTCTACTACTTCGGTATTTGAGCCAATATTTCAGCCAGTCATAATGAACAATCACAACCACTTTCTTTATCAAATAATAAATTTCTACTAATTTCGTCTCTCTATTTTCTTTAAAACATCCAAGTTGTGGATAAGTGTGCTCATTTCGAAAATCATCTTCGACTCAACATGCACATAAATAAATAAACGCTGAATAAGGTAATCGCGGTAGAGATAGCTTTCAAAGTAAAATAAAGTGATTGAATGTCAATTATCTTCGGATTTTAAAGACATCTCCAAACTCATTGTAGACTAGGAGTTAGTGACTTGTTATTGATGTTCATCTTTCAACGTTCTACGGAAGACTACAAATCAGTTTCAGTCAGAATTACTTAGTCTAGTGTATAATGCACTTATTTCATTTTAACTAACATAAATAATTCACATTGGTAAGAATATCCGTTTTCTGCACCGGCTGCTAACAGATAAGTATATCCTTGCATAGTGTACTACATAGGAAACAAGAAATGAAGCATGATTTCGAAAACTCACTTTCGCCTAATCCAAATTCAACTAATGATATAGTATTAAATGTTACCTCAGTTAATTTTGTTGACATGTCTGATGAATATGTCTAATACATTATCTACAAAAGTTTAAATATTTGAACTCGTCTGAAGCGTCTTGTCGTCAGCTTCCCTAACAGAAAAGTTCTTACCCTGAACGTTGTAATCAATGAATGAAGTTGAAACGGATGTTGAATAAACACTTTTATGGGTCCTTGAAATTGTTTATGGCTTTCAATCTAGACTAAGTTTCGCACTCAGACTCCTATTTTCGTAAATACTTAAATAATGTATCATCTTGTTAGAATTGCTTGATCGGTGAATAACTATAATGAGTCACTTGTGTTCTAACTGACTCAATAGGTCTAGATAACTATTGAGTGCTCTTTGGTGATATTATCCGAAAACAGACAAAAGATCACCTATTTTAGATAAAAATCTGTTCACCGTAAAAGTACTTTCATGCAAGCTGAACAGTCGGCGAAGACCATGGACCTCTGGATAAATCTATATTGACCTCATAAGGGACAGAGACCAAAACCATAGAGTCCTAAGTTTAGCATCAGTCTTCTACCTTCCGTTATTTCATAAAATACAATACCTATAGAAAATAATAAGTTACACCTAAGACATTTATTTTGTAGAAATATTTACACTACCAAGTGACCATATTGTTGACTGAATTATATTTCCAACCAGTTCAGTGAGACTGATGTCCTATGTCTAGTCGTTTCAAATGACTTTTTCATAGCAATACTTAACTGAAAACAAAATCCAATTTTTACTATCACCGCCTTTACAGTTTATATTCTGTATGAAATAACTAGGGATTTCGACGGCTTGACCACTTCCCAAAGAAGTAAGACAGGACAGTTTTATAGTACGAAATAATATGATTCCAAATCGTCTGACTGCCTGTAATTGCAATGGTTTTAAAAGAATAAAAATAGCACACTTTAACGATTCAAATGACAACGAAGAAAATGTTTCGAATTAAGGAATCAGAAATTCAGGAAAACGAAAATGTAGACATAAAACTCTCCAACTCAAACCACTGTCAATCATTATGCATTATTTAATAAAAGGTTAGAAAATGGGAAAGGAACATGGGGAAAATGATCAGTATTCGTTGTGGAGACTACGTAATGAGGAATTTCAGCTTGCAAGTTTGAACTCAGCTGAATGAAGGATTACGCATTTATGTTGGTCTGTTATTTGGAAAATTCTCTAAATAAGTTTGTCTTCTATAATATGAGGGATATTCTTCAATATCTCCAAGATCCAGACTACATGAACATATCAGATAAATGTACATTTTCATTTGATGTGACTGTTTTGTTAATGAGTATACCAGTTATCGAGATTCTCAGAAGACAGATCTATTGCCATCACAAGAAGGAGGAAAAAACAGTTCCTATTTCAGAGAACAACTGATATTTATTTTCGATTTAAAATCTAGGCTTATTAACAAATTAATGGAGTTATTATACGTTCATCACTAAGATCTATCTTATCTGGTATTTCCATTGGTTGCTTTGAAAAGATTTACATGAGATTTGTAGTCCAAGAAGCAGTTTGTTGTTACACATACGGTGATGACGCATTTTTGTTTTTACTAGTAATGATGTGAATAATGCATTTCAGTCGTTTGATAGTCAGTCTTATGAACTCAGGCCTATCTTCTCTTGCATTATCTTCAAAATGAACACTTCTTGTGTCTCTCTCATCTTCCATTCATTTCTGCTTTTGCACCTTCTGTTAGTTAATACATATTGATGACAATAGTTCAGGTAGATGATTTCAGCTTTTACTATTATGCTCCTCTGAATTTCTCTATTCCTAATGCAAAACACTTTATTTTTTTTCTGTCGTTTGAATCATTAATATGTGTAATTTTTCTTCTTTTGTAACCAATGTAGCTGCAAGCTGTGGAATGATATGATATTATTTCGCACAGTACAAACTCGTTCCATTTTGCTGTACCTAAATTTATCAAAAGAATCATTTGTATGGTCATTTTATTTATGCATTGATGAGATTACTTTGGTCTGTCAGTGAGTATGATCCGCCTATAACTGATCAGATTTGCTTCATTAATTTTCTTACATAACTAATAAACTAGGTGAAAATGATTGGTTAAATGTCAGAGTTTTTTTATAGCTAACTAGGCTTCACAGAAAGACTATCTGTTTAGAAACTGGGTTAAATATGAAGTCATAGACGTTATTACGGAGTTATTCAACTAAAGCCCTAAGTTTGATGGACTTTTTATTTCACTGAATTAATTATATTGGTTGAACTATTGTTGATATTTCTGGTGTGAATAAAAGATGATAAGTGAGTACATTTCATACAGTTTTGTGGTATTAAGCCGTGATCCATGGTTAATATTGTGTACACAGAGAGAGGACCAAGGTAATCTCTAAGATAGTCTAAAGTAATTTAGGAGTCAACGGTCCAACTGAATCACTTTCTTCTAGACAGTGATAATCAAAAACAATAGCAATGGCACAGGAATAATAATATGCATATATATTTGTATATTTACAACCTCTTGTTCTGATCTAGTAATAGGAATAATAACCACCATGATTATCGACAATAAGCAGAAAGAGATAAGATAAGAAAAAGTGATATCAGTAAAAGTAGTATAAAAAAAACTATATCACTGCAAATAGGAAAGACCAGATGTACACTAAGTAGTTATGTAACAGAGATAAATGATACATGGAAGAGTTTATTATTCACAAGAACACCTGAACACATAGACAAATAGATACATGATTGCATAATCTACAATAGAATTACGTTAATTTTAATTCTTTGACAGTAAAACTGTAATATTTTGTTTTGTTTTTTTTTCTTTATTTTATATCGTGTTTGGTTGATCACTTCGTTCAGAGATCCCACCCCAGTGTATACGAAATCGTTTATCTCTCCATCTTACTTCACGAAAACATGTTGCGGTTAAATGCAGTGGAAAAGCCACTATTTCAGAAAATAACCAAGCTACAAGGTATTCTAATTTTGTAATACATATTGGAGTTTCTGGTGGATAAATTTGACGTAATAATACATAATCTAACAAAAACCATACAAGAATATAACACAAAAAGTACACGCCTGGATCAATAAAGTTTGGGAAAATGTAAGCAAATGAAAATGATCCCAATAAAGCATTCGGTAGGCATCTTGTGAATGGTTCAAATAAGAAGGCCAAAAACACCATACTCATTCGTAACTGAGACCAACGTAATATTCTCATATAGAATTGGTACAAACAGGGCGATGGTGAGTTTTGCCAAGCGGGTTGATGAGATAAAGATATCTTCCAACCACGACTACTTATATGCTTTGAAATAAAGTAATCTTCAGCAAGATAATAACCAAATTTTTTAAAACCATCAGAATCGTCTAATAAACACTTACGCAATAGACATGACATACCAGTTACACAGTTCATATTCAAAAATGAAGCAACTAGGTAAATTTTTGCATGCCAGCATGAAAAGAAAACTAACTGTACAACCCATGTAAATGATGGTTGTTCACAGGTTGTAGGTACATATTCCAGATTTGTCGGTGTTGTTCTATTCCTCACTGTCCTTTCATATTCACCTTCATCAATATCATTAAAGCTGATATGTTTAGGATAATGTTGAGTGGATAAAATATTTATTTCATCTTCTGTACACGATAAAACTCCACTGTATGGTTTCATGTAAGGCACTTGATGAATCAGACCAATTTTTGGATCCTCTTCTAACGATGATACCATATCCATCAATGTATCTGAACGCATCCATAAACCCGAATCTGATATTAACAGTAGTGAATACTTTGAAGCCTCGTAACCAGCTTGCAAATTAATAATCTTTGGATTGATACCAAATAGATCTTTAGCTAAAATGAGTTGTGCATCAATGTGTGGATGTTGTGTAATCAATCTTTCAACAAGTTCATAAGCTGGATCTTCTTTATCTGATATACAAAATAATAATTCATATGTAGGATAATCCATTTCAAAGAATGATAACAAATTCTTTTCTAGATTTGGGTCTTTACCAGATAAAGGTTTCAAAATTGAAACACCGGGCCAAAGCACTTCAGATTTCATATCAATCATAATGTTATTATTATTAATATTATTATTATTACTACAATTTAGCACACTGTTATCTGTTGGTAATTGAATTAATGTGCTTTGAGAGATATTATTATTATTATTACTGTTAGCTGAAGGAATTGATGTTGATGTTGCTGTTGATTTCATTGTTGTCATATTGATATTCCTTTTGCATACATTACATAATAAACATTGCATGCACGAAACAACTCGTGATGTAATACACGATAATGGCCATTTACAAACTGCTGAATATGACCAACGCATACATCGACGATATAAAGGACATTTATACACTTTTTGTAGATATATTGGAGAAGGCACTTGATACAGATGCTTTTTGCCATACAGTATCGCGCATATATGAGCAAGAAATAAAAGTATATTTGACGTAATACCGCCGACACATATTAAGGAAAGTATAATTTCTAGAATAAATGAATTCGAGGAATAAAGACCAGCGTAATAAATGTAACCATAATTTGGTAATCTTGTTGTTAAATTTAATCGATGGAATTCATTAATAAAATGAGCTGGATCCATGAATAGTAGCTTTTAGAAAGTAAGGTGATTGTTAATTAAGAAATATTTTGCTTTATTTCACATTCCACAGATAACTAACAGACGGTAAATAATCACTGTTGTTGTCGTTGTCGTTACTGCCAAGGTGCAAAATGCCACTGAAAGTAATAGTTACACGGTAATTCCGAATAAAAAATGCTCAGCTTCATAGAATCAACTCATTTCAAGTTGTCTAAATTAAATACTGTATGTTGATACTAAAATTAAAAAAGAAAGGTTTAGTTTCATCTTTAATTGCAAGAACTTATTAGTTAGATCATATTCAACTTTTAGAGTGTATTTAAGGGGTGTATTGATCTGCACGAAATGATTTATTTGCGACGTGTGTTACAAGTAGTGGTTCAAATTTGACGTCAATATAAGTTACTAAGTTGCTGTGTCTGTTAGAAAGAGAAATATGATCAAATTAACAACCTGACATTGGTTTGAAATCTACAGGAAGAGGAAGTTTCATGAGTAAGATTATGATGACCTTGGCGATTTGGCTTATTTCGAACGCAAACATATTGTATATTTCAGCAAGTTTGTGACATTTGTGATTGCATGAATTCACCTACTATTAGATCATACTACTTTGTTTATTTTGATATCATAATTTTCGTGTCCGAGTTGTCCCTACTGTCGACTTTTCTTTCAACATGATGACAACTGTGGGTCTTCAAACTATGCTTACGTTTATATCATTTCCCTTTATTTGTCTTTTTACTGGTACACTTGTCTGGTTAAAATAAACGAAACGTAGATACATTATGCCATGCAAATTGTAAGAATGGAGTCATGAAATAACTAAACCATGATTTATTAACACCTAGAGAATGAGCAAAGACTATTGTGTAGTGAAAATCACGTCCACCCACCAACATTTTGATCAGGTCTTGGACTGAATCCATAACTTTTAGATCTTTATGGTACACAAGTTGCACTGGAAGCATTATGTTACAATCCAGATGGCTTTATGATGAAATTTCAGCTAGAGGAATCGTTCACACTTTGGAATTCATTTTCATGTAACACTATCCCTATTTAATTGATTTTTAATGTAATACATAGTTTTTCTTAGTCAGACTGATCCATGCTTAATTATTAAGTTTTCAGTCGCATTTAATTTGAAAAGATATGCATAGCTGCTTCCTTGTCTACATTAAACTGAGTAGGGCACAGTTTCAATGCATTTTTGCTACAGTAGGTCAAGTATTTGTTCCAGTATATCACACGTCAACATTCAGTGTGAAGCCAACAGCACTGATGTTAAAACCTCTCAACCACTGATAGTAATACATAAGGGTTGTATAAATTTCTTATCTTATTTTCAAACAAGAAGGATTTCAGTATTGAAACTCCCACCTGACTACCAAAGTTACAATTAGTTGGACGAGACTGACTGCAGTCTAAGTAGGAATGCAAGCATTGGAGTGCAGATATACTTAACTGATGGATTATAAAAAAAGAGAAAGTGCGAATCAAAATTTACTGCTATTTGAGATAACAAATGAATCACCAACCATATGTTCGACAAAACGGTTGGTCAATATACATGTATATTCTACTAGTATCAATCTGGAAGCCATATTTACTTATACCATTATGTAAGCAAAAATCCATCGTAGGGTGTTTTAAATGACTACCTGTTTAGTGAAGACAATAAATGATCTGTCAGATAGGTACGAAGTTAAAAAGACAAATACAAATCTATCTTCAGGGTACAAAATGTCTGACAAAACTTTTTAAAAGTAAAACATATTGTCCGTCATTTGAAGCATGAAAATGCAGTAAGAAGTTAACTGAGGTAACAAAATTAAGCGTAAATTAAGCTCAACAAGCCTTAATGGAACAAGATATGTTTACATAGAAAAAGGAACACCAACCAATAGAAGTCCAGAGAATACTATTGACTCTCATATTCATTATGTGGTGGCTTAAGAATAAGATACAAGGTTTCTAAACTTTTGAGACGGATGCTTCAAGCATAAACACGCCCTTCCTAATTAAAACATATCATTATCGGTAGTAAATTCCACAAGAAAGATGTTGCAACAAGTAACAAGAATTAAATTTACTACTTAAAATATATGACCTACTTTAATTATTTAATCAACAGTAAACAATTCTGGAGATTAACTGGACAAATTTGGATCATACTAGACTGTAACGTAAACTGTTAGACATGTGTGACAAAACCACACCTATCGTAGGTGTGGTTCATTGCCTTGTGAATGAATCTGCATGTGGATTATGTCTTTTAATGTTGTCTAATCAGACTACAACTTATATAGCTAATCAAAAAGACTACAAAACAAAATAAGATTTAAGGTCAACCAGTGTCATTCAGACCTAGTCAGACATCTTTCAGCAGTGAATTAAGGACTCACTAACACTTCAAGGTAATTGGCCAGGTATATTTGAGTAACGCACACTAGACAAAAAACAAAAACAAGACCAACCAAACTCTCCCATTCCACAACAGAATACATTTATTACCTACAACACAGTGATACAGTGCTGTTTATTGATGACGTTACGAGCGCAGCTTATCGCTCATCATGATATGGTCATCAATAAATAATACTGTATCACTGTGTTATTTATGAAGTAAAATTATTCTATTATGTAATTATAATCTATCACACTGCCCAAATTATATTCTTTTAAATCGTCTAGTTTGTTAGTTATCGAAAGTAGAATGTCAATTAACAAAAGTACAGTATCATCAGTGCAAATTTCAATCACGCAAGCACTTTGAGGCATTAGTATTAGAATGAATAACTTTACATAGAATTACTTGTTTACATCTAACTGAAAATAAAAATACTGAGCAACTTAAGATCGTGAAAGGAACACTAAATTCTTGATTCCATGAAAATACAGGTATATAGCATATTTTCACGGAAGGTAACTCGACTACTGATGGGAATAACTGACTTCACAGTGTACCTACCTAGAAAACACGTCTAGTTATACTGTAAACTGGAAGAATTGGAGACGTTTCGAAATAATTTACAAAATAAATTAGAATGAAAAACCAGAGGTATATGCGCATTTTCAAGCACGTGTCAGTAACAAGTGACTAATTGGTCTCACTGGACAACCTAATCAGTGATATCAGTCGACACGGTATACTTATCTACAGTAGCAATATATTGATTGTCATCTTAGTGAACTAAATATGAAGCGCTAGCTACTGGTGTTGTTTAAATGACTGTGTGATAACTGATTGTTGTCCAAGCTTTAGAATATCTTTTTCACAAGTAAATTGTGAAACTAATCTCAGATAAAACGGGCAATAAAGTACTTTCTGCTTTCCATTGTCAGTTTCCATTGTCAGATATTTAGTTTCTAAAGGAATATTGAAAGATAACAATTTAAACAATTGTAATGACTATTTATATTCGCTACACAGAAGCGAATATCTACATAAGCACTGACATAATTCCGTCCCTGGTAGGCTTGAAGAAAAAGGAGAGTAAGAGGAATTTCACAATAAGGCATCAATTCGAGTTATGTAATCACAGTGTATTATAAAATAAGGACCATGATTTTGACAATAATGGATTAAATATTGTACATAGAAAAATCATCAATATTAATTGGATTTCTACATAACCACCACTTCTTATTCACGAATAGACTAACAGAATCATTGTTCAATAGCATTTTTTTCGACTCAGTTCTCGAGATTGGTGTGCAACCCACCCAACTTTGTAGGGCATGCCCGAACATCTCTACAAATACTTTATTCATTCATACATAACCCTACCTTATTTCAAACGGCACGGTCGGACGATTACACAAGCTACTTAATGTAGCTCTTGTTGCTATCCTGACAAACAGGAACTGATCTAATAAACTCTTATCGACACTACCAGAGATAAGAATTATTTTAAAGTAAGGAACCGGATACTGCACCTATTACTTAGTCAGTGAAAATGTTACGACTGCCACAATAAATTTTCAATTAAGATAATCAAGTTCCATCTGATACAGCTTTTTAAGTCGAGATATTGAAGAAATATGCGGATAAGTTAAAAGTAGTAATCCCTCAACATCGTCAAAAGCAGTTGTTGTCATGCATCCCATCACAGCTGACAAACGGCGCCCACAATTTATCTGATTTAATTATAGTATGACGACCCATATAGAGTTCTAGAGAGAAATGAAAATTATTACAATATTGCGAATTAACAGGACAGATGTTGTCAGAAGTAGTGGAGTTAGAATGATAGTGATACACAAAATGATAGTGACCATCTTAGCAACGATAACACTCTCAACTATTAGGATCAGTGACATCTCACGGAAGGTCAGCAAGAGTTACTTGATCTTGAAGGAGAATTGACTGACTCAGACATGGTTGTGAAGAGACAACGTACCTCTGCTGCTGTGTATCTTCACAACCACCCCTATTCTACTTTCGAGAAATAAGGATAAACTACCTAAATTTGCCTCTTCTATGTGTATTTACCAGTTCGACTGCAGCTGCGGAGCCAGCTACATTGAGCATACAATTAGCCAGGTTCATCATCGTATTTCCGAACATCATCCAACATGGTTAAGCAAGGGACAAACAAAATCTATTCGTAGCTCTATTTTAGCACACCTTGTATACAGTAAGCATAAGGTTGATGTTAATACAGCATTTAAAATTATCTATCGCATTCCTACTAATCTTAATTTTGCCCTATGAGTTCGTCTTCTCCAGACAGCTGAAACAATATGAATCCACCTGAAGAAGCCAAACCTGTGTGTTCAGAAGAAATTTGTACAGCCACTTTCCTTGCCTTGGCCATCGTTACATGACTGTATAAACCGGACTATTTCGCCCCCTACCCCTAAACCTATTAAATTATAATTGTCCAAATTATTTTATTTTTCTGACCATTTCATCTTTAATTACGTGTTATCCTTGTAAAATTAATTTATTCTAACCATTTCTACCTTTTAAATTTGTATTGATTTTCTTCGTT